TCGGTGCCCTGCAGTTTCGTATTGCTATGACTACGGAGCAACAATTCCTACCCAAACGGAGGCTCAGTTGGAGAGAGTTAAAATTAAGGGTTATTCCTAAGTAACAAGTGGTCGAATAAAAAACGGATAAAAGGCAAACGAATGGATACAAAATGAGTAGGTATAAATATATTCGATCTGAAAACATGCAAGGCGATACTTCCTATGGGAGAAACCTGCCTTAGGAGGCTCATCCAGAGTATAAAAAAATGAAAATTACGGCGAAGTCACTGGAAATTCATGGATAAAATACAACTCAAATAAAAGAGCACAAAAAGCTACATAAGATGTATATACAATGAAGGATAAAAATGTCCCGAGCTCTACGGAAACGCCCATTAGTGAAACGTACGATTCACGTTAGGTGGTTAAAACGTTTTGCAGCGTTTTCACAAAAACCGATGAATATACTTCCAAAGTCTTTCCTTTGGGATATGGAGCACACAAATAGCAATCGAATGGTATGTAGTAGTCCACTATTCGTGGCGAATTCACGTAGAAAAGATAGCAACAATGTCAGAGCTCAGGTTTTGCATCCTCTTCTCGTCATGCAATTCGTGCAGCATTGCTGGCTTCCTTTGTCCTCGTACATTGGCAGTACAAGGGCATCCTTCAGCTCAGGAGGTACCTCCTCCTCAATCCACACGCGTTGCACCAAGTGGTGCAACGCATTTATCAACGCGGGTGCACCGTGTTTCAATACTTCAGGCGGGCTCCTGTCGGCACCGGCACATTTACCGTCGCAGGTGATCAAGTGCTTTCTGTGTCTCATCCAGTGTCGGTGTGTCTGCGAGACACGTGTTCATCTCTTGTTGCAGCCTGTGCAACACAGTCCACTCGATCTCTTAACGGTTGTTCAAAAGACAATCAACGTGTTTTCGCCAGATCTGCATTTTGTCTGCAATCCTGTGTACAGGTAGCGCCTGAACTACCATCGATCAACATCCTCAACTGATCCAATCTCGGTTCATACACCGCCTTCAAACAGTCAAAGAATTCTTTGTGTTGGCGGCGTTCGGCGTAGCATTCCATCTGCTTCCCCTTCTACGTTCACCATGCATTTTTACTGCGACGGAGCTTTCGAGTCAGTCGCCGTCGAATTTTGGGATACTGACTATTCTTTCCTAAGTCACTGGTGTTCGCCACATGTGCAGCAGATGCTGCATTCTTCTCCGACACCAATGCGCCAATCTTCAAACCAATCGGGTCGCTTACAGTTTGCGCGCCCGATGATCTCCGCAACAGCTGGTCGCGAATGTGGCCACACTGGTCGCCCACTGTGGCTATGCATACCACATTACACAGGCGTGCAGCCATCGCCTTCTCCAGCTCAATACGTTTCTCCACAGTAACGAGGGAGAGAATGTTAAATTTACGCCGATTCACGGTGGGAGTGCAATACAATGATTTACAAAAATATGTGTACAGTTTGGTCCACACCAATTTGTGATCAGTGCCGCACTCATTTCCACCCAGTACACGTGTCATGCGCACTTCACGCATATCACGCTGACGTACGATGACATAGTCGAGCAGGTGAGCGTGACCATTCCGTGGGTTCGTCCAAGTAGCTATAACACTCGTACTCAATGCAAACCGAGTGTTCGTGATCGTCAGCAAGTGAGTGGCACACAGTGAAAGCAGCCTGTGATCGTTCGCATCCGCTGAACCAGTGCCATGCGGACCGATAACATCTGCCCACACCGATGCATCACGCTTAGCGCGCTCGTTAAAATCACCCAGCAGAAATAGTCGGTCGCTCCTCGGCACAGACCGTATCACGGTGGATAACTGAGTGTGGAACTGATCACGCGTGTCATCAGGATAGCACATGGTAGGACCGTACGTGCTTATAAAAGTGGCAAACTTACCTTTTCCGAGTCGTAGGCGAATAGTCATCAGTCGCGCGCTGATGCCTGTTGGTTCACCCACCAGCTGGCCATGGAGGCGATCGGATATTGCAAATCCGACCCCATGATATCGTGGTGCTGAGGTTCTGTTTCCCACCCAGTAGAACGTATAACCTCAACCAGGTTCATGGAACTTACCTTGCTCAGGGAGCCGGGTCTCGCTGAGCGCCACAATATCGCTGTTGCAGCACGCCAGTTCCATCGCGAGCAGTGCAGTGCGTCTCTCGGGGCGCTCACTGTAATTCCGGTCCAGTGGTGTGCGCACGTTCCAGCACCCAATGTTGAGCGTTCTGCGCGGAGGCCTACGATCGCATTGGTGGGCAACTTCATGAGTGCTGATGACCTGGATTGGAGGAAGTATTGTGTTGGGTGAAACCTTGACGGAGAGAGTGTGTGCAAGGAAGAAGAAAGAAGGGAGGCGTCAATAGTAGCATGTTTTCGCTTATCCACTCCGCTGTATGCAGCATATAAGGCGACCTTTTCCCTAGGGCCACTGCGTGACGGTTGATGCAGCAAGGGTTTATTATTATTATTGGTGTAATTCATGGTTGGGGATTGGACTAAGATACTACCTGGGTGCTCACATCTGACAGGAACGACCCGGGTCCTCAGCGAAAACCTTCGATAAAGTATATACCCGAAGGGCAGTGGGCCGTGCGCCAAAAGTCAGTGAACGGACACTCGAAATTCTGTGTGTTCTGGCCCTCAGCTAGAAAAGCGGCATACCCAAACTCCCACCCAGCGGTCACCACGTGGAGGCGTCCAGGACATGAGCCCACAGCACAACACTAGTCGCAGCGGGTCAGAATCTCGCCACCACACGCTTCAACGCTCCATGGGTTCTCCCGCCAATGGTTGGCGGCATTCGGTTTCGGTTTTGCCTGTCACTGTGGCCAGCCACAGGACGCCTGCGCCTACAGATGGACCATGGGTGGCTTACGCTGCACCACCCACATCTCCAATCACACACCCCATATGCAGTGTAAACCCGAAGGAATAAGACCGGGAGGCATGTGGATGGGAGCCACGTTTCATCAACGGAGCCGGCCCACACTCCTTCACAGGCAAAGACAAGCACGCTCTATTTGGGAAAGAATCACACACAAGGCGGTGGCTGGACCGTAGTCCGCTCCACACTGAGTGCATGGAACCACTCTTCTAGCCTAGCATGGCCACGGGGACCGTGCACCCCGTCCCCTTCAGCAACGGCCAACTGTCTGCTGGAGCCAGTATGAACGAGATAGTGGGTAATAGACTGGTAGGCAGCTTGTCAACATGCACATCAAGCGCAGCCTCACCTGGGATATCAAGCAACAGCCAATCACTTGAAATGCCGATATCACATAAAAGATATCGAATAAAGTAAACCTATATGACGACATAAATACTCGCTAAATGCGCATATAGAGGAAATTGGTTATAAGCAAGTCCAATGTCCGAAAGTTATTTTAAGAAATCACGTGATAAAATTACGCAAGTCTATTACAATTAGCATGAGCGACGGATGCAAGTTAGGAGATTATCAGGTACGCAGAACAAGCCAAATTAAGTGAAATGAATTTTATCCACATTTAATGACCTAGTTTAAATATATGTTGGTTTATCCCAACTGAGGTGAAGAAGCATCGTTTGGTTGAACCCATGTTCTATTCTCTGCGATAGACGTGACCTGGTTATTCTGTTACTTCCCTTACCCACAAATATTTTAATCAAGTGTTGGCCTGCTCTCCTAGATTTGCAGTGTACTTTCGGCTATTTTATCAAAAATCAGAAAGGCATCATCTTTGTGCAGCTTTGGACTATCCCCAGTTGAAATGTACGCACAGTAACACATTCATACAGCAGACCAATCACATCCACACATTTATGATGCCCTCTAAATTCATGACAATACATTCTCAACCGGAATACTGGTACCGGTTAGCAATTCAATACTTGTACAGCTAATCCATGCATCGAGTATTCCGAGCTATTTTGATTACTCTCTACCTAGTTTCGTCTTCGCCTCTGGACGCTTCAATCGGTCCGATCAACAAGCACTTGTTGGGCAGTTTTCACTTACTGAATTGATTGGCTAGGGTTATTGTTTGGCCAGTTCCTCGATCCGTATATTATCGCTCTTTTTACTCAGCCTGCTCCCACGTGGTACTTGGATATTGCTTCTGAAAGTTCCGGATGTGAACCTCATATCTCATGTTTGTAACCTTTATCTTGTTGCAACAATACGGTATTTTGACCTTGTGCAGCAATCCGTAGACTTTTTGAGATGGTACGCAGTAAGTTCTACTATATTAATCGTTGGTTTGGGGTCAGATAAACCTCCGATACATAATTTCCTAAATTTTTCTCACCGGAACTCATTTCGCTTTAATCTCTGCGTTGATCTCTTATCGGCCACTTTTGTTTGTTCCTTCTATTGAGCTCATGGCTTGCTGGTGCATACCTATCTGCAGCTCCATTCTTACGTTACAACGATCACTTGAATGTTACTTCTCACCTCCTCCGTCGGATGACTACAATGCTTACTTTCTCGCTTCACATGATGTTGAGCTGACCGGAATGCCTTGGTTGACACGGTCATTACCGTTTTTGATTGCTGCGGTACTTATTTTTCCCCTTTAGAATCACGACAAGCATCCATTAGATGAGGACTTTTGTCTTCTCTCGTTTCTTCTTTTCGGAAACCTTTTGTGTATCTGCCCCAGTGCCTTGGTTTCTTGACCGACTTTTCAAATAAGGCTGCTTTGCTTATCAGCTGCCTTTTAATTGGGCATGATGCATTCACAGCTGCTGTGCCGTACGGAATCTGTACGTGGCAATGCGGTCTTCAATATCGACGAAGTACTGTTTGGTTTTCCGACAATGACGTTCTTCACTGTTGTCTGCAATGCGCTCCAACGTGTTCTTCCACTTCTTAACGCTGAGCTGTTTGATCACTTTATTGTTACTCATCTTGCCCATAGGACCCGACCTTCGCTTTACCTTTGGTGGATTGGAGATTAATTCTTTGCCGTTTATCTTTTGCATTGTCACCGTAATATCCTTTTCCAGCTTACGACATCTCACAAACACGGCAGTACGACTCTGTCTTGATATCTCATCGCAACCGAAGTGTCCAATGCACCACCGTCTTTGTCCCGTCATAACTTTTTCCGATTGTTGAAACTGGAGATAGTGTTGTGACTGCTGCTCGAGTGAGTTGACCTGAGCGAATGAGTGTCGATGGGCACGCGTGTGCCATTTCTGATTTGCTTGAGTGTGTACTTTTTTAATCCGTTTATGCCACCACGACCTACAGCTGGAGTTCCTTTCCACTGCATGAGGTGCATAGCTACCAGAACATTAGCGTCGGTATGCGGGAACGCCGTTTGTTGCTCAACATAATCTGTGCAATATATACGTTAATTTTGTTGGATCCCACTAGTTTGTTTACTTCTCTGCTTCTAATGGTCTGTATTTATGTCGCGCCCTGACATTTCCGCATTTTTGTGACCTGATCCACCTCGAAACCCAGAAGCTGTATTTATATTCATGTTCCTTTCGTTTTCTTATGTTCTCCCAAAAACCACTGCGTTTTTGTTTTAGGACGAAGTTCATCACGCACTATTCCCTCTGGCCAGTTGCCCGTCTTCGTACTGGATGTATACGCATTACAGCCACTTTCCGTCACTCTTAGCGCACGCATAGACGGTTGAATACCTAGTACAGTAAAGCGACATCTTGCTCGAAATGATGACAGAATCGTCCGACCAATGTGGTCCATTCTCCAGCTTTGGCATGGCGTACTTGGGGTTTGCTCTTCGTCCTACTCTGATTAACATCGTATGGTTTGCTAATTTTTTTTATCGCACTACCGTTCCAGTGTCCGGGTCAGTTTTGACTCAGGTCAATCATTTTTACAAGCTTATCTTCCATTTCTCCTTCCGATTTACAGACATCTCCTCTTCCAATTGACTCTGTTCGTCGAATTGTAGGGGACGTATCTATGGACAACTTCGATTCACTTGCCACGATCACAACACATTTTGAAAGCTAGTTGTGACCTGTACTTTCATGAAATTATGTTGCTCATCAGTAGGCCCCGTAGCCCGTGTCGTTTACTAAAGGCTGCACTTTATGTCTTCCGCAGTGTATTATCGCCACCCGAAAGAATTCTCATCTTTTGTATGCGCTCGATTGTGCACTGTTTTTTGTTTGACTTCTCTTTACTCCATGTCCATACTGGCTCGTATCCGTCCCAGCACGCGTTTCCTCGTTGAGTTACTTCATCCGTTCCCATCATTTTACGGTCCCGCAAATATAATTCACTGTATTCGACCCCATTCGCCTTCAACTATTGTGACTGTCTTACATGCCCTATTCCGGATTGACTGTTATTATCCCTATGGATTGATCAATCACCCTGATTCGCACGCGCAAATTTATGTGCATTCGTCATATCTATCTGATTGTTTCTCTTCCAACACATTAAATTATTTATAGTACTCTTAAGTAGCAGGATTTTAGTTGTAAATTTGATAAGGCTTTCATCCCAACAGTTCACAAGCTACATAGCAGAGCCTAGTCCGGAAAAGCGCTATATCCCAGCTAGTTTGCAAATTATGTAGCCCAGCCGACGTCTAGTTGGCATCTGCCTCTAGCGGTCATGGGTTCGATCCTCATTAGAGGACCGAGGGAATGCGCGCCACTGACTAGCCCCAATAGGGCGAAACGCGTCTGGCGCTTTTCCGGACTAGGCTCTGCTATGTAGCTTGTGAACTGTTGGGATGAAAGCCTTATCACATTAAATTATTTGCCTCAGAAGCCAGTGTATAAGCGAACATATGTTTTCGATAATTCTTCATCAGACTAGTACAGTTATATGCAAATCAGGTCAATCTGACAGACTAGTGAGTTCGTTAAAAGGTGAAACCACTATCTAGACAACATTGATAATTGTTGTTACTTAGGTCAATATCTGGGCTTGTCCACGGTTCCACTGAGCTCACGAGTCGATCGAACCTGGACAATCGTAAGCGGCGAATGAACCGCTTCCGAGTGCATAGATTCGACTCGCGCAGTCAAATTGCGATAGCTTCAACAGCTTCCAGTATCCGTCTGCGCGTAAGCATTCGGTAGATTTTTTGTCTCAATTCTATGCTTCTGCTGTATTCCGTATATTTTTAACATCTATGCATGATCCGCACGTTGCATGGGACTCGTTTCGCCGAGTTGGTATGCTCATTTTATCTGTCTCTGATTTTGAAGAACACGCTCCGGATATTTGCTTAGCCGTTTTTGAAATAAAGCTCACAACTGGGATATTTGGACGAACTAGTTGAGGTGCAATCAGTTCTTTACGCGTTTTCCTATGCCGATGGTGGCGCCGGTTCAAGCCGTGCTACTTTACGCTCTAAAAGAAGCACAATATGAAGTTATGAAGCAGGCGATTTTGAGGGTATCACAGCTCACTGCAGGGCCCTATTGGAGCGGCTCAATTGTATCAACTCTTCGACGTTGTTCCGAGATATCCAGCCCTCTGTCGGTCTTTTGTTCTTAAACGAATCGAAGATGAAGGCGCTCCAACTCGTAGCTCTCCCAGAGACGTTGCCTTCAGTGCCGTCCATATTTCTTCCCAGGCCTTCGAAACAACTGGTCAACTCAACAGATGCTGTGTTCGAATATTTTCCATTTTAGACAGCGACTAGGTTCGGTAACGTATTCGCAGTGATGATACACGAGTCTCTCACTAAATCCGCTGCGTCAAACCTCACTTTGCTTCGAGACCAGGTGATTGCACTTCTTCACCATGGGCTATCAACAATGATGGTTCCCAAGTAGGACGTGATGCGGCCATCTACTGACCACCTTTTGACGGCTGTTCATTGCAGCTAGTCTGTGTGCATATTAGAAAATCTTTTTTGACGCCAGTGCATCTTTCCTCAACTCCCTGTCAGTCCGACAACATCAAACCCACCGACGATTTGTGCAACTATCACCACTAATATGGCAGAGATGTCAAGCGTTAGCAGGCTTCTTGAACTAGGCACCACGATTCAATTGTCACAAGGAAATCGAGTAACCCACACACTGTCATGATCAACTTCTCCACCAGTGATAAAACAGGTTGACTGTTTTGCTTTGAGGATGAACGCTTTGGTAACACTTTCCTAATCGACCCGAGAGTGGAATTCGGCGTCCTCTGTCGTGCCGGACACAAGCTGACACCATCCACATACATCTTGCACTGAGCGTATGATGAGCTTGGGTCTGAGTCTCTGAGACGTTTGGTGTATCTTTGCGCTTGGGGCTGTATCATTAGCAATTACGTACTAATATATCTTTCACTTCGGATTTCTCGTTGGTACGGAATGGTAAGAGCACACCGAAACTCTCCACTTCGGTTACGGTCCCAGTGATCGGGATGACACAGAATGAATCCAGTCAACCGAAACCACAATTGAGATTTCATGTCGCAATCCTTGACACATAGTGGTGCTCCAAAGCCCGCCAACAACCTTAGACACTTACGTAACTGCTATTTATGGGTTTTCTTTTAGATGCCCCGACAATTAGCTTGTTCTCCCCACCTCCGTTGCGCCTTCAGACTACGTTAGCCTGCTCTCCGATTACCCGCTAATGGCACGGCTAACTGCCAAGTCCCCTCCTCAGTCATTACAGGTGTCACTCGTTACATAATCACGCATTGCTAGCCGGTCAGTAACCGACCACGACACCCAGGTCCAAACAAGCTACGTGTCACACTAGCTGAATTCGGGTACCGGGTTCAGCTCGGCGTCGTCATACCGTTCAACAGTCCATTAGCATCGCCTCTCCACGTAGTCCTGAAGATGGTCTGGGCGACTATCGCTCCTTGAACATCGTTTACACACTCAACCCCGCTCATCGTCGATCTCTCAGCCAGTCTGGTTCGCGTATAAGACCAAACTCCGGTAGCGGAGACAGACATCACTAGAACTGCTTTAACGACCTCATTTAAGTTGTTCGACTTCTTGCACATCCCACTTAATCCTAAGAATACCGCACGAACTTCCGGACTTTTCATCGATCAAGTTTTCCCCAGTTTAGTCTTCGTCTGCTTACCTAGACTGCCTGATTACCAACTTCTCACATGAGGTGCATCTGCGTCGTGTCCAGACACTGGCTGTTTATCCTAGCACTGGGTGACGACCAGCGCGGAACACTGTTCTTTGATTCGGCCACCAATCTCCTCTACAGACATCGTGCCACTAGGATAATGTCGAAGTCATGGTCGACTGCACTGAGCCTCTGTCACAACAATGACATCTCGATAGGCTTGTTGATTACTATCATCCATCCATACTTAACTATGCTCCTCACGAACCCTTTCCGACGGAATCACGGCAAAGTCGATTTTCTGCTACAGCGTCCAAATGCCTAAATTGGCTACCACCAACCTAGCGTCTATAGTACACGTCGTATAGTTTAAGATTATGAAGAGCCTCAGTGACATCAAGCGTACCGATCTGTTTGAGCTGACCGCTTCGTATCACCTACGTGGACATCGTTTGAACCTTAAACAACGATGGGATATATTAGATTTTTCGGCGAATTTCTTTACCAACCGTGTCCTAAGTCGCTGGAACCAACTTCCTTCTGAGTTCATGGACCGTAGTAGCCTACAAAAGCGACTTAACTAAGTGTTGACCACATCTTTTCCCAGAAATGCTAAATCGTATCGGAATCTTTCGCAGCAAGTCTTCTTGCGGTGAAATCAGATGTTGATCCATGAAAATGCAAAGATTGGTTTTATTCTTGTTTCACTTTTTTGCAGAAGCAAGGATAGCCATTCAAACGTCGCGGAGATGTTCCGTTTCGCTTGCTGGTACAAACAGGGAGACATTTGTTAGCTGGAAGCCTGTATCGTCCTTGGATCTTGACCTGATCTTATTTCCAATACTTAGGATTCTGTTCAACTGTCTGCAATTGTTGCTCAGGGGTGTGGAGTTATTCACTCGTGTAACAGCAGCGTACCATTTTCGCTTAGCCTTATCCTTCGGGAAATTTTTTTAAACATTTTTGATGATGTCATTTGAGTCTATCCGCAGTTGACATTGTACAATGCTGAAAATGCACTCTTCCGGGTACCTTAAGGTCACCTTGGCTAGTTGATTTGAGCCGACATGGAAGGTTGATGTCCCGTCTCCCCTACTTTACGATGGAAGTAACTATGTTGGCTGGACTTGCTGCTCTATTAAACAAGGTTTGGGACACTGAAGAAGTGCTTTCAGACTGTCAACTGCCGTGCGCATCTTCAAGAATGATCATTCCTCCATGGGCGTGCCTCGCATAGCCGAGTATAAATATTCATGTTGTGCAGCAATCACTGAAGCATTAGCCTACTTTTCATTGCCTGCAAAGTTCTCATAGGTATCATTCCTCAGCGACTTACTGGTTCTCGTGAGATCCGAATCATTGAACGTTAGGTTGGTTTCTGCCCTGGTCTTGGTTACATAGACCAAGTGTTTACTCTTCGTTAAATGTTAGATCAGACACTTACAGACTACCGGCTATGGTGTTTTCCTTGGCTTGAAAGCCGTCTTCAACTCTGTTGATCGTACCTGCTCGAGCACTGCCTATCCGTGAAACGCGTACCAACTAAACTGCATCTTATTCTGAAGTCTCTTGAGACCGTGTAAGGGCCTACGGGAAGCTTTCGCCTGAGTTCCGCACAACAAGTGGGGTTCGTCACGGTCTTCCATCTCGTTTTCTCATCGATTTCGTGATTGGAATGTTCTTGAATGACTCCGTTCTTTCACACTCTTCCGGAGTTGAAGTTCCGTCAGGTTACTGACTGATAAGCATTGAGTATGCGGACAACCTAGCTCTGTCCATCGGTCTGACATAGTGTAACGAGAACGACATGGGAGGAGAGCAGAGCGTCTATTACGCACACACTGACCACTCGCAAACCCCTACAGACATGAACCGTGTCTCCTTCCCACGACGCACCGTGGATGAGGGTTTGGGAGACGGGTCATTCCATGTGCCTTACGAGCTTGAGCCTAGGGAACAATTTCTCCACCTTTCATCTCACACCCGCTTCGCTATATCCGATTATGGCCAACCAGGAATCGTTCGGAAGCTCGCGATTTGTTTTCCCCTTGCTGCATCATTCGGCCCGCATTCAGTCCTGTGGCTTTCGCTAGCGGCGTATTTGTCCGATTCATTGCGTTCTCGACAAATACCTCCTTCGTTGTTCTGAGCTCCCAGGCTCGTTATCAGATATCCCTCATGATCTGCAAGGTTCGCTTTGCTTTGTCTCATCCATTGCGCCCTTAGGCAATTCCCTACTATCCCGTTTTTGTTGTCTTTCCGGTTCCCGAGTAGTCGTTGGCTTCTGTCTTTCTACAGTAGCACTACTAAACAGACTGACTCACATTTTGCTTTCATTACAATCACCCCAACCTTCCAACGGGATTTGTCAAACACTTGCTTTTTACTCCTGGTAAATCAT